CATCTTTATCATTTCCAAAATAATTATTTATTTCTGAAATTGGGCATGTAATATCTATATAATGAAATGCGTATGAATTATCTATATAATGCGTATATTATCGAAACCCAAACCGAAATAATGGGTCATTATCGACCTCCTCTTTGACATTTCTTCCTGAGAGATTAATCGAGAACGATGTCAGCGATTTGCCTAGAAAACTTTTTGACCCTCTTACATTACAAAGGCGCTTTACGTCCGCTTATATTTCAGTTTAATCGATATTTTCAAGATATTGGAACATTGGCGCATGTTTATATTTATAATGGATGCGCGATGTTCCATTAAAATTATTTTTGCCGTTGATATAAATAGCTTCTTTTCCATATCTAAAATTTTTATAATAAAAATTTAGATGTATTTTATTAAAAAAAAAAAAAAAATATTATTACATTTTAGAAGAGAAACTTGAATCGATTGATGTAATTGTACGGTTACATGCGTAACGATCTCTTTTGCCGGCTGGTAAAGCGATACTTTATGTCGCACGTGTACTCATTACACACATGTAGGCACATTGCGAGCAGGACAACGAGAAACCATTTCTAAACATAGTCGGGACAAACCCAGCATTCGCGGCATCCGTCGTCGGCCCAAGAAAAAAAAAAAAGAAAAGTGCAAATCGAGAAACGCGAGTGCTTTAAGGGATGCACGAGGCGGGAGCTACCGCGAGGAAACGCAGTTTTGTCTATACTTAGCTTAAGTTGCTAATCCATAGGGACATCGAGTGTCAAATATTTCTTCTACATACTTTGTGAGTTTATGAGGGTGAGATGAACACTTCTCGAGCGACGATTACATCGAATTACATCTAATCACATTCATTTGCGACATTTTTATTTTTGCGACGCCAGTTAGAAAGGAGAAAAACATCGCTCGGAGCAGAAATATTATAGGTCAGGGAGGACGATCGAGTTAGCGGTTACGAAGAGAAAACCTTGTTAGATAAAGCTGGCCTTGGATTTTTTTCCCCTTTTTGTAAATGTAATATATTGCGACGTGCGCCGTATATATTACCACGGTCGATCGTGAATAGTCCTCCTACACTTTTCACACGACGATCGCCTATTTAGATACATCCCCATTGTGCGTATGGTACAAGTGGCGTGTCAGAACGTCACGCTCTAAAGCAGGAAACCGTGGAATATGCTGGATACGTCGACGTCCGCGGACTGTTCCGTGAAAATGTGTGCTGCGTGTATGTGCGCTCACACGTATTCGCGTACTCGTGATACGATGACAAAATATCGTATTATGGGATTAAAGCCGGAGATTTTCGGTAGAACGAACGCGCCCTTTAGTATTCGCGAGATAAATCGCTGACGGATTATCCAGCGCCATTTTTCGTCCACTCGACGGCAGATATCATTCGGGCCACACTTCAACGTCGCAACTTTTTTCCGTTTTACTTATCGAAACTCGTAGCTAAATGTTTTTGCTTTTTTTTAATGCACGATTTACTTGATTCAGAGCTTGAAATTCCGCACGGTTTCTTTGATTGGCGCGATGGCTCATTCTGTCGAACGGAAATTCGCAGATAAGCCGTGGGCAATTTAATTAAAACATCTGTTTCAATTAACGACCAGGCTGCCTTTAACTGCAGTTGTAAACCATATTTATCTTCGGTTTGTTTATAAAATAAATTTACAAAAGTGAACGCTCTGTGAATATTTAGTGAGCTTGAAAAACAAGTCTCGAAAATTGGAAAAGAATTTCTAAAGCCCGAGAATTGATTTGTTTGATGTTTTTCATTCTATTTTTACTTAGTACTTGAAGAATCATTGAACAATCGATTCGCATTGATGATGTTCTCATGCGGTTTAATTAATGGTATTTTGATTCTGTTAATTGATTAAATGATTACCATGACTAGACATGATAGTCATCGATGGATTAACACTATCCATTTCGAACAATCGAGTTCATTAAATAGTCATCATTAAAATAAAGTAAATTAGCAGCCGATACAATAAGGTAATATGTTGATACCAATTAGAAGTTCGAAGATTCATTCTAGTAAATAAACAGAAAAAAAGAGACTGACTCTTGCATTGCTCTCGCAAGAATATTATTCATCCAAAGCAAAAGCTACAAATGTAAATAAAATATAAAGTATGTTTCAGGCGAAGATGTGATTTAAATTTTAATCCGTCTCTTTTAATCCGTCAATATTAAATAGATCAATAAGAATTCACAAAGTTGCGTCATGATGCGATTATGAATAAAAATCGCAATTTTGATAAATTTATTTCTTCTAATAAATGCAAAGATTATTTTTGCATGCACGCAGCACGAAATCTGCATTTAAAAAATTGTTTTCGAATCTTGACCGATACGTTTTATATCTTGATCTTAAAAAATCGAGTCTGACGCGACTCTTCGCTCAAGAAGATTTGTTCTATGCAAATTTTCGGACTCGGTTGTGATTGTGATGCCTCTGATAAAGATATTGCAGTCAAAACCTGTAGGGGTCAGTGAGAATTAAGTAACGGCACTCAGCTGTGAGCATTAAGAAACGGCTTCTCTCGTATCAGCTTTGGGGCTTCCGATCAGTTTGACATGTTGAGCTCGATGTGTGTTCTACTCTACAATGTAACTTTTTGATGTCAGATAAGATTCGATGTAATGGACTTGCGATCCTTTCAATTTATTGCATATAACATTTTTTTTGTTAACATTAATCTATTTAATCGACTGAAGAATTTAACTGTTAAAAAACTATAATACAGCCGAAATTACACAGAAAGCTTTGGAATGTAATTGATTGATCAATTAACGAGTTCGATTCGTTTTGGCAATGTGTGTGTGTGTTCGCATAATTCATATTCCGCGTATTCGCTATTTCGAATGTAATTTCACGAAAATGCGATATATATTTCGTCAGTTGAACTACTGCTAATAATAGCGTCCACGTTTACTGGAAAGTATGCAACACGTATTTACTTATTGCGGGATAAAATTGGAGGCAGGGAGGAAGCCGCGTGGAATTTGTTGCACCGACTAACGCCTTCTGCTCGCGCGTTTTCTCTCCTTTTTTCTTCTTTTTCGTTAATTTTCCCCAGCTCCTCTCTATCCTCGGCATTGATTGATACTACGACGTTGCCAAGCAACGTCTCGAACCAGACTTGTCTGTGTACACGCTAGTATAGAATTACGCGAGAGCGAGTCCGAACTCCCTTGGCAACGAGTTACGTTCCATTATGCTGTATCATCAATCCTTTAATTTCATACAAGATTTCAGGTGAAATTTTTTTAAATATTTTCGCATGTGAAAATGAGCCTAAGAAAAACCTTGCACTTGAATTGAATCGTGAAATATTGAGTGATAAAATCGATTTACAGAAATTGTAGAGAATTGATTTTAGACATATAAGATGTTGCGTGCTATCAATATCTTATAATTTAATAAATAAATATATATTTGATACATTCAATATATTTATAAAGCACAATAATAATGTATTAGTCATATTAGCCATATTAAGAATAATTTCTTTTATTTTTGGTCTTCTTATTTTTTTTCTTTTTCGTTTTCATTATAATTAATTTAAAATTTTTTATCTCGACGAGAAATGACTGACAGGGTCGGAAATTTTTTGTATGATATCAAAAGTGGAGTATCTCTGCGTTAAAGTTGGCAATAGAGGGTGGGTACAGGATGTGCGACGATCGATTGCCAGCTGGTGAGGAACCACGTGACGGGGTGCGGTGTTGGTGACGTCATAAAACGACCGCCCCAAGCAACCCTTATGACAAACTGCAACTGCTGATTCATTCATCCTAATTATTCAATTAAGTTTTGAGATGCACTTTCTCTTTTCTTTTCTTACATTAACTGTGCGTAATTTGTAATTAACGTAATTTGTAATTAATATTTGTAATTTCATATTCGTATGGTAAAAATATAATTATTCTAAAATTTTAAATGAAACATTTACAAGTATTTTAATAATAAATAATATAATAATAATACATTATAAATAAATAATTATTTAATTTTTTTACCAGATATTAATTATCTTATTATATCTAATATAAATTTTTGTGTTTCTGAACTGCCTTGAATAAAAATATTTCATTAATTTTTATACAAACAGTATTTTTTAATTTTAAACATAACGCGAAATCACTTTATCACAATTGTAATTGTAAACCAGCGCAAATATAAATAAATGAAGATGTATTATTATTTATATCCGTTTCAATCTACATCCGACATATTTGTTGATAAAACATCAGAGAAAATTGCGTGTTATAATGTAATACTTAATTTACTTTTCTCATCAATCAATCTATAACTGGTCTTGACAGTCTCTAACATCTTAACCTTAACCTTACATCACTCGATGGCTACTATCCCTATTCTATGAAGCCAAATCATTGTAGTTTTACACATTTATACGCAGTTATGACCTACTATTCCATTCACTTATAAACATATACTCGGTGTTTAAAAATACTTTAAGCAATATTTAAAATATCTCTCTTAATCTCTCTCTCTCTCTCTCTCTCTCTCTCTCTCTCTCTCTCTCTCTTTCTCTCAATATTTAAAAAGGCTTTTTTAGAAAAATTATAAAGTTGAATAACATTCATAATCCCCTGATTATTTTCTCTGTTATTGATATATTTTCAAGATAGATAATTGCTTATAGCGAATTTTGGTAAGCTAACTTCTCTTAAGTTCAACATAATCGCGCATACACAGTGATGATCTAAAACGAGAACAACCTAGTTTCCATTCAAAATATCAGAGCTCAGAAAAGCTTGGCCAAGTTCATGAGAGAGCATGTCACCGGAATACCTAACGTTACACTCAATCTTGAAAATGAACAGTGATTTATATGCAGATTCCATAAGTTTTCCGATATCAGTACCTGCTTAACATGTATAGAGTAAGAAGATTCCGTTCAAAAGTTTAGCTATATTTAGCGATCACCGTTTTTTTTCTTTGATTGTTACAGGTTTTCTATCATGGGACAAGGACAGTTGTCACGTAGATCTGGAGAAGGAATTATTGGCCTTAGTAGCGCAAGCCCCCGAAGGCGAAGAAGCCAGAAATGGTAATTTATTGTCACAAACATGTTGATTCGTTATATTATACATAATGTTTTATGTTATATTATACAATTAATTAATTATTATTATAGATTATTATTAATTATTATTATTCGTAGAAATTATTAATTATTACTCACATAAGTTATTAATGAAAATGAAATTTTCAGGCGAAAGGTTGATCCAATATGCTACCGAGAACCTCGTAACGGAAGTTCTCATTCATCCACAGACGAATACATTATTACAGTGTATTCGCAATCTTCTTGCAAGCTTCACGAAACATCGGCACATCATACACGCTGGATACACATTCGGTGGTAATGGTTCCTGGATATTGCAGGTATTTACACTTCATACTAATATATTCGATTGTTATTTGCCAAAAATGAAACGTTAATTAATAATTATGCGAAATATTAGCAGAGAATTACAAAACGACAAACAATTCTTGTTATTCAGGATGGAACCTTCAGTCTCTCAGACTTTCTGGATGCGTTCAGTGAACATGAAGTGCAAAGAGTCCTTCGTGCCTACGAGAATAGCGTTACCGTAGATATACATTGCGCGGGTGTCGGTGATTGGACGACAAATCGATTGTCGAAAGAAGCTTGTTGCAGGTGTATATCTCTCTTGCACATTTTTCTACATGATCGATTCTAATTTGTATCACATAATAGAAGCTATTTCATGTATAACACAAATAGGATATTGCACACAAAAAATAAAAAATAAAAATGAAAAATATAAATAATATATTGCATAATACGTCTTTCTTAAATATTTCATGTCCTTTTCATTAACAGATCTTGCAGAGTCAGAGTAAACCCCGACGATGTTCTCACAGCCGGCGTGCCGGCTATCATGAGTTTTACGAATTACATCGGACAGTACCTCGTGTCACAAACACTGGACCAGCTCATGGAACCGTCCGACGTCGTTGGAAACATTAGATTTAGCCATCCAACCTTATACGTCTTCCCCGGCGGGCAAGGTGACGCCGCGCTTTTCGGTATAAACGGCTTCAACATGCTCGTCGACGGCGGCTTTGCTAGGAAAGCATGTTTTTGGGATTTCACCAGGCATCTCGACCGATTGGATGCTGTTCTAGTCACTAGGATAAATAATAGTAACATCGGCGGCATGTTTAGCGTTCTTCGCAAGAAGAAGGAGATGCATGTCTATCCTCAGATCGGCCATTTCTTCTGTAACTTAGTCGTAAGTAGTCATTGTTTTTAATTCATTTTTTAAAAAGAAAATTCAGTATATTTTATAATAATAATTAAAATTCTTCATGATAATCGCTAAATCACTATATTTTCTTATTAAAAATATACATAATGTAGGAAAGAAGACAATCAAATTCACCCGACGGCGATAAGGACATTGATCCGCTCATTTTCAACCTCACTGATATTGGTCAAGAGATGGTGGTGAATCTTCGACATATTAATCTTCGCGCCCATCCTTGCTACAGAGATCCCGATCCGATTAACCTCTATCACAAGGTGGGCCATGGCACGCTGGATATGTACGTGCTCAGCCCGAGCAAGGACAGTCGCGAAGTTCGCGAATTCTTGGCGAAGTGGCACACGTCAGATTCGAAGTTGTTTGCAGGTTCTCATAAGAAAGATTCGAACAATCTCACATTCCCGATACAGAATCTCGTGTCGATATGCGCGCTTCTAGTTTGGCAGCCGGCAAATCCTGAGGATAACATCACGCGGATTCTCTTTCCCGGCAGTACGCCGCAACACAAGATCTTCGAAGGTTTCGAACGATTAAAACATCTGGACTTTTTAAAGCATCCGGTATGTTCAGCGAAGACTCTGTCACCGTCAGTTTCTTTAGCGACACTCAGAGATAAGCCAACCAAGCAAAAACTTAGTCTTATCGAGAAGGAACCCAAGAAAATTTTGGAGCCAAAGAAAGAGAAGAGAGAACCATCGGAGCCCAAGTCCATCAAGGCCGCAGACGAGACTGTATCCAAGAGTATCCCTCAATCGACGCCGATTATACCTGCTAGTAAACCTAAGACCGAAATGAAGATGAAAAAAGTTGTAGAAAATAAGAAGATCGAGACTGAAGCAAAAGAGAGTAAGAAAATTGAAAAAGAACTGAAAGAGGTGAAAAAGGAACCCAAGAAGGAACCAATTAAAGTGGAGAAGCCCGAAAAACGAGAAGATGATGTGAAAAAGATTGATTTAATCAAACCGGAACCCGAAAAAATCAAGGAACCTAAGGAACCTAAGGAACCTAAGGAACCTAAGGAACCGAAACCCAAATCCGAACCAAAAAAGAAAGAACCAAAAGAAAGCAAGGTGAAAGTTGAATTGAAGAAAAGCGAAGTAACTCCGAAGCCGAAGTTGATTGAGAAAAAAGCCAAACCTTCTGGTGCAGAGAAAAGAGACGCTGTAAAATCCTCCCCGACTACTCCGAAGAAGACTCTGAATGGTGCTGCAACCAAGACAGAGATATCGAAAGCTGTACCAAAAGTGAAACCGGCGGTCAAGGTTGCTCCAAGTCTTCCAGCCAAGAGTGCTAAGGAAGCTAACAACAGGAAAGTGGTGGAACAGAAGAAATCTGAAGTCGAGAAGTCTGCCGTGAAGGATTCTGCAGCGCCAGTTGTCAAGGTGACCGCAAAACCTAAACCAATGGACAGGAAGCCGATCAGTCGTCGCGCGAAACCGGTTAGTCCCAATAAAGCCCGTATGCCGGGTAGTCCGGCGAAATCTACTCGCAGTACTCCGACCGCTTCTGTAAAATCAGACAAAGACGGTGTTATTCGTAAAGTGAAGGGCGACAAAGGTACTACCGATTCATCCACGGTCTCCACTCCATCTGGCATAGAACCAGAAGTTGTAAAACCGATTGATAAGAGCTTAATTGAACAATCTGAAGATATATCATTAGATTCAATAGAAAGTAAGGTATTGGCAGATCTTAAAGAAGAGCGAGAGGTAGTGGAAGAAATTGAAGCTGTTTTACAAAAGGCGGAAAGAATCGAAGAAATTCGAAAGGACGATCGTTTTGAAGGTGATGATGAAATCACGGCTGAAGCCACTGATAAGAAAGAGGAGGATATTACAGAAGAGGATGTTACTGCCGAGATTGAAGATGTACCTAAGAAGGAAGGTTCTAGAAAAGAAAGTCAGGAATTGACTGAAGAGGACGAATATCTTATTGTGGAGAAAGAAGAAGTTTACACCGAAGATTCTGCTCAGAGCGGCGAGGGCGAACAAAAGCACGTTCTCGATGAAGCTCAATCGGAAAAGGCAAAAGTACTAAAAGACGTGGAGGCAATGAAGGAAAAGGGCGAAAAGGAGGAACCTGAGGAGAAGGGAAAAGATGACAGTCCCGAAAAGAAAGTAGAAAAGATTTTGGATAAAGAAGAGAAAGAAATCGCTGAGTTATCTTCGGAACATAAGGAACAATTACAGGAAGAAGTAAAAGAGATAATAGCATCCGCAGCCGAAATCGTACAGAAAGCCGAAGAGAAGGATGATTCCGGTAAAAAAGACAGCGAGGACATCACGAAAGAACCATCCAGTTTAAGTCCGGACAAATTAGATTCATCCGAGAAAAAAACAACCGATACGGACATAAAACCGGATGTCGATCAGAAAGAGAATATTCTCGAAAAGATGGAAGAGTCTCAGGAGCGAATCTCGACACTAGAATCGGGAGCCACTACAACTGCTCCGACTTTACCAGAAGACGAGCGAATACCACTGGATGAAATAAAAGAGGATATTGACGAGAAACATGTTATTGAAGAAGTAAAAGAGAAAGATGCTCCTGCAAAGCTCTTGAAAAAAGAAGTTATTCCGGAAACTGTTATCGCGGCTGCTAAGCCGGAAGTCAAAGTATTTGATGTTCGCCAGGCGATGCCGAATTTGCAAAGAGACATTGTTAAAACACCAGACGAGGTCGCCGATCTTCCGGTTCATGAAGAAGTCGATCCTAAACTCTACAGGATGGAAGATTTCGAGAAGGGAAAAGAGGAGAAATTATCGCCAACTGCGCAAGAAGATAAAGAATCGCCCATTCCGCCCGTAAAAGAGCAGAAGGGTGTTTTTAGTTTCTTTGGCAAGGTGGCGGATAAATTTGAAAAAGGTATCGATAAATTGACCAAGAAAAAGAAGGATTCTGAGAAGGATTCTGATGAAAAATCTTCCTCAAAATCAAGTTCTCCAAAAGAACCAAAAGTGCAAGAGAAGACGGTCTTGGAAGAGGTTGATATGGAGAAGGTATTCCCTAAAATTGGCAAGCCCATTGACAAACCCGAGACATTTGAAGAGGCGAAACCTACGACTGTTGACGTGAAAGTAGCTGCCATCAAGGAAACTGCGGCATTTATACAGGAAGAGATACTGGACGCACAGAAGAAGAGTGTGCCGGATATTGAAGAAAAGCTTCCTACTGATAAGTTAGATGAAATTAAAAAAATAGAAGCTAAAATCGAGGAATCATTTCTTGCAAAAGACGTATCACCAGACGTCGTTTCACCAACTAAACTAATTGAAGACAAGGAAATTGCGAAGGAGATTGAACTTTTGAAGGAAGAAGATATCGGAGAAGATGTAGAGGTAAAGGCACTTTTGGAAGAAGCTTCGAAAAAATTCAAAACTGTGAAAGATAGTTTAAGAGATTCATTGGAATCTTTGGAAGATAAAATTAAAGAAGAGATAGCTGAGATACATGAAACGCCATCCGCCCTGAAAGATATAGTAAAGGATACTTTGGAAGGGGTGGCTGAGAAATTGGAAGAGATAAAGCCACATATCGAGAGCCACTTACCCGACATAAAAGAACCGGAGAAAGTCAAGTTTGCTATACCAAAAGATGAAGAATTCGAAGAGGAATACGAAGAAGAAATAGAGGGTCCATATAGAGATATGAAAGAAGCTGTTAGAGATGTCGGAGAAGTCCTTGCTGGCACTGCTGGTATCGAGCTCGAAGATAAACCCAAGGATGTCATAGAAATTGTGAAGAAAGTCGCCGAGGTTCTCAGAGAAGACGATTTTCTTTCTGACAAAACATTATTCGAGCAAGCTCCTAAAAAAGAAGAGATTTCACCGATTTCGACGGACAGAAAACCATCGAAAGAAGAAATCTCCCCAATTTTGACGGAAAGAAAGCCTTCTATATCAAGTGAAAAAATATCTCCAGAGAAGGTTGCTAAATTAGAAGAAGAGGAACTCAAACTTGCTCACGAAGATATTGTGATGCTAAAGCAAGTTGATGTTACTAAAGTACTTCCGGTTCATAAAGAGCTTGAGAAATTTGAAAAGCCCGACAAACTTCCATACGAGAAATCTGACGCTCTCGAGGTAAAAGAAGAACCTTGTGTAAAAGTGGTGAAAGAAAAAGACGATATAGTAACGTCGCCTATAAAAGATGTGGCGAAAGATAAACGAGATGCACAAAAAATTTGTGAGGAGATATTAAAGGACGATCAACATATTTGCGATCAACATAAAAAATCAACGGATGATACATCTCGGGTAGATGTGATGCAAGCTGGTATCGAAGACGTATGCGTGAAGGAAGTAGCAAAACGGCCATCTTTCGAGAAGAAGCTGGAGGACGAGATCGAAGAATCCGTGATCGGCTTCGAGCAAAAGATTTCGCCGGCGAAGGCGGAGATAGTGATGGTGACTCCCGGTTCTACGCCAACTTCGCCGAAATTTGTCACGGACAAGATATATGACGAAGGACTGGAAATTGGTTATCGTGAATTGCCAGAGGATATCAAGCAAATTCTCAACAAGGAAGTGCCAGTTGAAGAAATAATCGAAGAATTGGTTATCACGAAGAAGAAGAAGGTTACTATCGAAGTGATCGAATATATCATCGTAATGAAGCGCATTCCGAGAGAACGCGTGATTTACATTATCGAAGAGATTATCACGAAGAAGGGACTTCCTAGAGAAAGTGTGATAGATGATCCAGAGATTCTGAGGTTGAAGGAATCTGTCACACTTGAAAAAAGAATGGAAATCGAGGAATATATCCTTAACGAATATATTGTTAAAGGAAAACGAATTACCATAGAAATCGTTCAAGAAATCTCGATTAAGAAAGTTGTGCCTAAAAAGATTGTCATCGAAATTATTGAAGAGATTATTGTTAAGAGAAAACTTGCTAGGCATATGATACTAAATGTCCCTGAAGAAGTATTATCGGAAATAATTCAAGAAAAATCACCGGAAGAATCGCCAGAACAATCGGCAGAGGAGCAGATAACAGAGGAACAGAAAATAGACATACCTGTGAAACAAGAATTCGCTGCTGAAGTTCCTGATGCTCCAACCGGAGAAAAAAAACTAATCGATGAAGGCGTGTTTAAGTCTTATATTGAGGAATTTATCGTTAATGAATACGTTACTAAAGGGAAAAAGATTACCGCATCGACAATCGACGACATTTCTATTCAAAAGACAGTGCCCAAGCAAATTCTTATTGAAATTATCGAAGAAATTATTATTAAAAAAAAGATTCCCAGGAACATGGTACTTGATGTTACGGAGAAAGAATTATTAGCAATTTCTAAAAAGACACCTGAGGACGAGAAAGAAAAATTAGTCGCTGAGACACCTAGCGTTCCAGAGATAGAGATTCCAGAAACGGAATCGATAACTTCGCAAGAAAGAGCAGAAGTTGAAGAATATATTATTAACGAATATATTACCAAGGGAGATAACATTAATATTAAAAAACTTGAAGAAATATGTGGTAAAAAGAAGGTGCCTAAGAGAATCATTATTGAGATTATCGAAGAAATTATTATTAAGAGAAAATTACCGAGACATACAATACTTGGTATAACCGACGAAGAATTATCGCATATTATTAAGGATGAAGCGATTCCAGAGTCGCAAGTACTGACTGAGAAAGTGACTGAAACGAAACCGGTCGCAGAAGTGCTCAGCACTGAAGAGAAGAAAAGTCCAATTGAGTTAAAAAAAGACAAGAAAGAAGATGTACTTGAGCAAGAAATGAGCGCTGAAGAGGAGTTATCGGCCACATCCGAAGAGGAGGATGTCGAGAAGGAAGTGGATGGATTTGTTAGTATACCCAGAAGGATATCCGATACAGCTGATATAAAGAAGAAAGCGATTTCAGAGATTCCGTCTTCAGTTACGAAGGAACATGAGAAAGACGTGATTGACGACTTTGAAGCTGTCGAGCAGGAATATAAAGTACGTGATGTACAATCTCCCGAGAAAGCGAACGAGATGAAAGAAAAAGAAGACATTGAAGAATCTGTGGAAGATACTACAAGTGAAGTGATCGAAGCAGACGAGAAGTTCGTGCAAGAAACCAAAGGGAAGGTGGGAATAGAAGAGTTTCAGATTGCAAAGGATATTAAACCAACTGACGAGAAACAAGAACCTGTAGAACGGGATATATCCGAAATATCGGAAATTGTCGATACTACTGAGAAATATTTAGACGAGGCTAAGGAAAAGACGGATGACATTCTTCAGAAAGAGACTGCTACAATATTGACACCATCAATCTCCGACAAAGCAGAAAAGCCTTCAATCGAAGACTTAAGTAAGGAAACGCCCAAAGATTTCTCCGATAAGCGACCATCAATTGATGTACTAGATATTTCTAAATCAATTACACCAAGCACAAAGATAATTGACGAGAAACTTGAAATGAAAGAAATTGAACCTGCGGTTAAAGAAGAAGTCGAAGAATTGCAACTTAAAAAAGTTGCTGAAGAAGTGAAGGCAGAAACAAAGCTCGCAGATGCAACAGGCTTTACACAAGAGCCAAAAGTAGAATTACTTGAAGATGATAAGAAATCTAAACCATTAGAGACCACAGAAATTAAAGAAGCTCCAATAATTAAGGAAGAGAAGAGCCAAGAAACATTAGCACCAAAACCATTTGACGATGGCACTGTCAAAAGGATGCTGGTTACAGCATGTAGCGAGGATGGCAGAGAGGAAATTGAGATCTGTCCAAGCGGCAGCATAACTTTTACGAAAACCGTCACTCCAGATGATTCTCTTAAGGATGTATCTGTTAAATCTACACCAGATAAAGATTCATTACTTTTAGATAAAGACTCACGTTCGGACATAAGTACTCCCGAAAAGGATAGTATTTCCGACAAATCTGCGCCAGAAGGTAAAGATAAGATTACTCCAGAAGACAGCTTGGAAAAGTCACCTGCTGGTCCTCGTGATTCACAGGATCTTGAAGACAGTTTGGAAAAATCAGAATTGCATAAGCCAAAGGTACCAGAGGAATTGAAAGATATTACAAAGTCTCCTGTGGAAAAAGATTTGGAGGTATCAGATAAAATTGCCGAAAAAGATATACCAAAGTCGCCTAAAGAGGAACAAGTGGAACCGAAATCTCCGACTAAGGAAGATGTAGAAAAAATTGAAAAAGTGAAATCTCCAGGTGAAGAAAAGATCGAGAAACCTAGTTCTCCAGTTGAAAAAATCGACAAATCACGATCTCCTTCACCTCTTGATACAACAATGCAGAAATCTCCAATAGAATTAGCTGAAAAACCAAAACTTCCAATCGAGAAGATGCTTCCAGAACCTAAGAAAGAAGGAACGATTGGTGTTTCAAAGACACCTGATTCGCTCCATTCAGAGGATGTTTCACCAGCTGAGACAATTTTCTCGAAGTCACCCACAGATAAATCTGAAATGTATTTTGCAAAGGAACCTATTACTGAAGAAGACATTGCTATTGAAAAAGATATCAAAAAATTACCTGAATCTATTAAAGAAATTAAACCAATTGTAGACAAAGAATTACCAATATCTTTAGAAAAATCCGAACAAGATATTAAATCTCTCGATAAATCCCCTAGTATTTTAAGTGATAAAGTCGATGAGAAAGAAAATGATAAGTTGAAATCGCCTAGTATTATGGAGAAAGAAACAGTAAGTGAAAAGTTGCCTATTTTAGAGAGTGAACGTTATGATGAAAAGGGACCAATTGACGAAGCTAAATCTCCAAGCGCGATTAGCGATAAATCCGATGAGAAGAAAGAGGCCGAACGTTCCAAGTCACCGAGCATAGCTGCGGATAAGCCAGACCTTCAAGACGTGACGGAACATTATTTAGAGAAACCAAAATCTCCTATTTTTGATAGGCCAGATTCTCTTAAAGCTATTGATAAGACTGAAGAATCACATGATAAAGATAGATCTCCCAGTGTAGCTAGTGATAAATCAGATAGCAAGAAAGTAAGTGACCGTTCTAGATCACCAAGCGTTTCTGTAGAAAAAGTAGATTTCGAGAGAACCCGATCGCCTAGTGTCACAAGTGCTAAAGACGACAAACTGGAACAGTTTCCAGTAGCGAAATCACCTGAAATATCAAAAGATGTGTTGAAATCTCCGAAACTTGAAGAAGATAAATCGGATTTGAAAGATATAATGCAACCTCCATTAGACAAATCACGATCACCGAGTGTAACAAGCGGCATTAGCGAATCTAAAGAACCAGATCGCTCAAAATCACCTAGTATCGCCGGCGAAAAACCTGATATAAAGGATGTGACGGAAACACCAGTGGAGAAATCAAGATCTCCAAGTGTCATCAGTGTTACGAGCGAGCAAAAAGAACTAGTTGATCACTCCAAGTCTCCGAGCATCGCAGGAGAAAAAATAGACTTAAAAGATGTTGCAGAACCTGCAGATCGATCAAAATCGCCAAGCGTAACTGGAGAAAAACCAGATTTGAAGGATGTCACTGTAGAACAATCGAGATCTTCTAGTATTACAGGAGAACAAAAGGAATCGCTTGATCATTCTAAATCTCCGAGTATTGCTGGAGAGAAACCGGATTTAAAGGATGTCATAGAACTATCCGATGAAAAATCAAAATCAGCTACCGCAATGAGTACTACGATTGATTCGAAGGGACTCGATGATCAATCGAAATCGCCGAGCAGTACTGATCTAACGGATATTACAGAACAATCGTCGCTGGATAAATCCAAGTCACCTAGTGTCACGAGTATTACATCTGATCAGAAAGAATCAGTAGAAAAAACAAAATCGCCAATTCCGGATAAGAAGGAAGAACCTGACAGGAGCAAATCTCCAAGCATAACAAGTGAAAAGTCTGATGAGAAGAAATCTGTCGATGGTTCGAAAGCGACCAGTGTTACGGAGGAAAAACCAGATCTTAAAGACGTGATGGAACCATCAGGTGATAAATCCACATCATCAAGTGTTGCGAGTGAGAAAGCGGAATTATTTGAAAAATCGACATCGCCTGTTACTGACAAATTAGAACCACCTATTGATCGAAGCAAATCTCCCAGTGTTGCTAGCGATAAGTCCGATGAGAAGACATCGGATGACAAGGATAGTGTTAAAGAACATTATGAAAGTGCTGGTGATAAATCCCCGAATTTCGTCGATGTGAAAATACCGCACGAAAAAGCTATGGAGGAGAAACCTTCAACAGTTTCTGAAAAAATGGACGTTAAGGCAGATGATATTATATCGCATGACAGACCGGTATCTCCAAGCATTATTTTTGATAAGCCGATAGATGACAATAAACAGTCAATAGAGAAAATAGATGTTGACGAATTAAAAACGTCTGGCATAATTGGCGATTCGGATTTTGTTGATAAGACAAGATCATTAAGCATTATCAGTGATAAGACAGAACCGAAATCACCATCCGATGTTTCAAAGTCACCGAGTTTACCCGACGATCAAAAAGATAAGTCTAGATCATCCAGTGTTGCCAGTGAGAGGCTTGATGATAAAGTTTCGCAAATACCAGAAGCAAAGGGAGAACGATCAATTTCGCCAAGTTCAGCCAACGATCAAAAGGACATATCTAGACCATCCAGTGTTGCCAGTGAGAAGCTTGATGATATTAAAGTTTCTCAAATACCAGAAGCAAAAGGAGAACGATCAATTTCGCCGAGTTCAGCCGACGATCAAAAGGACAAATCTAGATCATCCAGTGTTGCTAGTGAGAGGCTTGATGATATTAAAGTTTCGCAAATACCAGAAGCAAAGGCAGAACGATCAATTTCGCCGAGTCCAGCCGATGATCAAAAGGACAAATCTAAATCATCCAGTGTTGTTAGTGAGAGGTTCGATGATATTAAAGTTTCGCAAATACCAGAAGCAAAGGAAGAACGATTAATTTCGCCGAGTTCAGCCGATGATCAAAAGGACAAATCTAAATCATCCAGTGTTGTTAGTGAGAGGTTCGATGATATTAAAGTTTCGCAAATACCAGAAGCAAAGGAAGAACGATTAATTTCGCCGAGTTCAGCCGACGATCAAAAGGACAAATCTAGATCATCCAGTGTTGCCAGTGAGAGGCTTGATGATATTAAAGTTTCGCAAATATCAGAAGCAAAGGGAGAACGATCAATTTCGCCGAGCTCAGCCGATGATCAAAAGGACAAATCTAAATCATCCAGTGTTGCCAGTGAGAGGCTTGATGATATTAAAGTTTCGCAAATATCAGAAGCAAAGGGAGAACGATCAATTTCGCCGAGCTCAGCCGATGATCAAAAGGACAAATCTAAATCATCCAGTGTTGCCAGTGAGAGACTTGATGATATTAAAGTTTCTCAAATACCAGAAGCAATACCAGAAGCAAAGGCAGAACGATCAATTTCGCCGAG